ATGATGTAGCCCTTGATTACGTGTTTGAAAGCTTCAAGACCAAAGGCTTTTGGTGGCCATGCTATTAATTGGGACTCACCATGGTGATGCTGTTTCATCAATTCTTAAAGATCTTTGTTGCTACCTAGTTTGTTTCTAGACACAATCCAGAGTGCCCATTGTAACTTAAAATCTCCAGTGATCCAAGACTTGGCTGTTGGGAAGATGGTCTTGCCGACATGAATCTGCCTGTCAGTTCAAGATGATCATCTGAGGTGCTCATCTGGTGCCCCCACCTTCGGTGGTCCTGGAGAAATGGCTTTCTGTTTAGTGGCACCCTGGCCTTGATTCCCTTCCCTGGGTTATCCCCTTGGAAGCCATCAATTGCTGTCATGTCCTGTTTGCCAGGCTTTTTAAAAAAGAACAATTAACTAGGTTTGTTGCATATATCCTGCTTTTGTATATATTCCTTATTTTATTCTCAGGATTTTGTTAATTCCTTTGCTATTTTATTACCATTTTTAATTTGGAGCTAGAAGCTATCTTTAAGTGGAAAGGTTTTACAGTAGCATGTTCTTAAGTGATTTTGTTTATATGTTAAAATTTCTACCCTCTTGTTACTAAGGAACAGTTTATAAAAGGATAGAAATAAACAATAAAGTCAAAAGCTGGTGGCCTGTGGTCAAAGAAGCATCTAAGAATTGTTGGCTCTTGATTTCTTTTAAAGAATATTAGTATTGGCCAAGCCCTACTGAGTTCAACCCTCCTTTTCTGTTATGTAATTTGTGTATGTCCATGCATAGCAGACTCAGTAGGAGAGTTTGCATGTAACACTAAGCCAGGATGTAATGTTGCATTCACAAACTGGAATGAGCCTGTGCAAAACCGCAGGTTTGCACACTGCCTCTTCTCTCAATCTGCCATATGGCTGGGCAGAGGACCTCAGCTGAGTTTTACTTTCACTTTATTTATTTATTTTATTACCAAAAGCCTCTGGGCGACTTACAAAGAACAAAGAAAAGCTGGTTGGTTGTTATATCTGAACCAGAGATGGTTGTTTAAAACAAAGTCTAGTTAATCAAACCATCAAAATAACCCCAGGTTTATAAATGGCTTCTTTAGAACTGGTTATAATTTGTTTTTAACCATAATCTGTACTTTGAGCCTAATGACAAGCCAGCTTTCCTGAAAAGTGAAACTAAACTTCTTATAGATGTCCAGGAGGAGGACAGGGGAGCACATGAGCCACAGGTTTTGTTCAGGCTCAGGCTCAGTCCAACTTATGCACATCATATTAAACCTTGCCTTAGCATTAGATGTGAACCAGGCCTGTGTGCTGCCTTCTTCAGGCCAAAGCATCATATTTAACAGGGTGTGTGAAATTAGATTAGACTGGCCACTCCCAGCCTGCTGCCTCCACATATGCTGGACTGCAACTCAAGGCATCCCCCAGCCAGCTGTGCTGCTGCTGGGAGTGGTAGCCAGGCACCAGATTAGAGGGTGACTGGAATAGCAAATAAATTTGTGACGAGTGGCTGGAACAGAGAGGCTCTTGGGAAGGCCGCTGCTGCCCCGTGCTTAGTGGCAAAGCAGAGCAAATAGATATGTAACAGAATACTCTTGCATGCAAGATGAGAAGTGCTTCAGTTTCTCTGTATGCACAGCTAAGGGGGCATGAGCAAGCCCTTCAGAGGTAATCATTATTGTGCAGAAATTGGTTGGATGAAACATCTCTGTAGTGAAATGCGTCATTCCTTTGAGCTGAGTTATGGGTCGAGGTGTTGTTTCCCCTCAGCACCCTCACTCTCCCCTCTCCCAACGTTGTGAATAATTTTATTTCCCTGCAGCTTGTTTTAAGGCTTTCAAAACAAACAGTTATATTAAATGTGGAGCACAGAACAGGTGTTCCATGACTGCTGCTGTCAGATGTCTTTCAGTACAGCATATGACTATGGGAACTGGACGTCATTGTTTTCCTATAGGAAACCATGGCAACTGTCAATGGCAAGTCAAGGGTTGCTATGAATAAACGTTTTGTGGAGTATATTTTTGTATCATGCATGGGAACTACTGAGCAGATTCATAACCAGCAAGTATCAGCCATCGCTGTTTGGCATGACAGAAGAAACAAGAGGTCATCCTAAGTGGAACTGAGTTTGCCTTTTGGCTTGCCCGAGTAGCACTTCTGCCCAATTGAAGATTTTCATACAGTGTGGTGGAACATTCTCCGGTGTGAAAAGCAGTGGACTTTTCCTGTAACTCAGAACACAATGACAGTTCCCTTATCACAGGGCAGGAGAGCATTGGCATGCAGGCTTTATGGAGAACAGTTTATAGATCCCACTGCACAGCCAACAGAGGAACTGTAAACCTGGTGTGCCAGCAAAAGGATGGAGGAGATAATGACACAGCAGAGTTCTTATTCTGTGAAGCAATTTTGATGCTGCAAGAGAGAGAGAGAGTGCGCGCGCTCTACTATGGAACCTTTCCAATTTTTCAACAGAATGGAACTGCTGGCTTAGCATTATAAATTCACGTCACAGCATTATGACTACCTCTTTAGTGAGGTACATGGATTTGCATGATGAAAAGAGTCAGAAAGTAGTCAGCAGTGCTAGGTCAGCAGTTGCAAGCATCACTCTTCCTCCTTTGATTGAATAGAAGGAACCAGTAACACACCATTTATTTATTTATTTATTTATTTATTTATTTATTTATTTATTTATTTATTTAAAGTTTGTATATGCCGTCCCCTGCTACACAGCCTCGGGACGGCTTACAGAAATAAATAAATACAGCATAATAACAATTACAATTAAAACCCGGAGACACACTGGCTGCACGATTAAACTCTATAAATATTAAACTTTAAAATACTGTTTGAATAAAAAGGTTTGGCCTGGTGCTGAAAATCAAATAACGACGGCACCAGGTGGACCTCTCTGGGGAGCGAATTCCACAGATGGGGCGCCACCGCAGAGAAAGCCCTCCTCCGGGTACTTTGCTTCTTGATATGTCTCACAGAAGGCTCCCGGAGGAGAGCCTCTGCCTCCGATCTCAAGGGGCAGGAGGGCAAATATGGCCACAGGCATTCCTTTAGGTATCCAGGTCCCAATCCGTTAAGGGCTTTATAAGTCATTACCAACACCTTGAATTGCACCCGGACTTCGATGGGTAGCCAGTGAAGCTGGTAGAGGACTGGGGTTATATGAGAATAATGCCCAGTCCTTGTCAGCAACCTGGCTGCTCTATTTTGCACCATCTGAAGTATCCAGAATGTCTTCAAGGGCACCCCACGTAGAGTGCGTTGCAGGAGTCCAACCAGGAAGTAACCAATGCATGTGTCACTGTCGCTAGGCAGTCGTCCTCCAGGTAGGGACGCAGCTGATGGATTAGCTGAAGCTGATGGAAAGCGCTTCTCACCACCGCCAACACTTGAGCTTCCAAAGTCAGCTCCGGGTCGAGGAGCACTCCCAAGCTGTGAACCCTGTCCTTTAGAGGGAGTGCAACCCCATTCAGGACAAGATCCAAGTCACCTACCCAGGAGTTCGAACACCCACCAGCAGGACCTCCGTCTTGTCCGGATTGAGCTTCAGTTTATTGGCCCTCATCCAGCCCATTACCTCAGGCAGGCACCAGTTCAGTACAGCCACTGCCTCACCTGGATCGGTTGAAAAAGAGAGGTAGAGCTGGGTAAAATCCGCGTACTGGTGATTCCACAGCCCACACCTCCGGATGACCTCTCCCAGCGGTTTCATGTAGATGTTGAAGAGCAAGGGGGACAGAATAGACCCCTGCAGAACTCCATGGCATAACTGCCATGGCGCTGAGGTAAAGTTCCCCAGCACCACCTTCTGGAATCGGCCGTCGAGGTAGGAGCGGAACCACTGCCAAGCAGTGCCTCCTACTCCCAGCCCCCTTAGCCTATCCAGAAGGATACCATGGTCGATGGTATCGAAAGTCACTGAGAGGTCCAGGAGGACCAACAGGGACGCACTCCCCCGTCTCTCTCCCTGCACAGGTCATCCTACAGGGCGACCAAGGCAGATTCAGTACCATACCCAGGTCTGAAGCCGGACTGAAATGGATCCAGATAATCAGTCTCATCCAAGAGAGCTTGGAGTTGTCCCACCACCACCCACTCCAGCACCTTGCCCAAAAACGGGATGTTGGCCACCGGTCTATAATTGGCAGCCATCTCTGGATCCAGGGACGCCTTCTTTAGGACCAGCCTGACCACCGCCTCCTTTAGAGGGGCAGGCACCCGGCCGTCCTTCAAAGAGGCGCTGATGACCTCCTGGATCCAGGAACCAATCCCATGTTTGGCTTTGGATAGTAGCCACGATGGGCAGGGGTCCAGTACACAGGTGGTGGTACGTACTTGTCCAAGCACCTTGTCCACGTCATCAGGCTGCAATAACTGAAACTCATCCAACAATGTGTGACCAGACGGTAACATTGGCACCTCCCCTACGGAATCTGAGTCACTAGTGGAGTCCAGCTCATGACGAATCTGAGCGACTTTCTCCTTGAAGTGCTGGGCAAAGTTGTCACAGCAGGCTGTCGAGGGTGGTATGGGATCTTTTAGTATAAACCTGTAGAATAGAGACACTTAGGACTGGCATCTGAAGGCTAGACATTTTAGATGCATCTTAATCCAAATGATTTTAATGGAATATACATCCAAGTAATGTGTGCAGAATAAAACAGAAGTGCTACGGAACAGAAACCATGAACAGCTGTGTTTTTTGGTGTGCCACAAATCTTGTTTGCTTGCTGCAAAGGTTAGCGATCATTGTTGTTGACTGATTCTGTGTGGCATTCTGCTTGCTCTTCCATAAATATGTCCTATAATATAACTCATCAATCGGCCAGGTTCATTTGTTTTCAGTATGCTTTATCTCATCGATAAGTCACATGCTTCCTTATGAATGCAGTGTTGTAAATGGCAGTATACAATTCCTGTTACACAAAAATCTTGACTGAAGTTCTTTTGTTCTGTCCTATGTTTCTCTTTGTAGGATATCAATAACTAGAGTGACAGCTGACATTTCTCTTGCTAAGAGGTCTGTTCTAAATAATCCAAGCAAGAGGGCAATAATTGAGCGGTCAAACACAAGGTCCAGTTTAGGTAAGGTGTTAATAGAAGCATATAGTGACATTTTTGTGTGCTGATGGTTGACATTTGTTGGTAAGAATAAATTTGTGGGACCAACACATGAGATTGGGTTGCTTAGTTCCTTCTCAGTCTTCACTCTACATCAGTTTTTTCCTCCAGATATTTCTCATCCATTCCTTCCCAAACCCATCAGTGAACTTATCACAGCCGATCTTCTCCTTTTGTCCAATGAAACAATTTCTTCATAGGCCTCCAGCAAGAAGTTCCACAAGACGGCTTGGCGTATATTATGTACAGTATATATAAGCACATTACAGATACTGTCTTCCCATTTCTCCTCCTGTTCGGTGCAACTTTGTGTTGCCACAGATCAAACAGTGGGATGATGAAAGGGGCTTTTATCTATGATGTATGAATCATCTCTTTACTGGAAGTGAACAAAGAAGTTGATGATTGGACACACAGGCTGTGGACCTCTTGCTACTTCCATCACGTGCCACAGATCTTGTTTGCTGCTGCTGCAGGTTGAGTGCTATTTAAAAAAAGTTATCTGAAGCTATGCATGTGCGGTTAAGAGCATATTATTCAATTTCTAGTGCTAGCGAACAAAATTCTACATGCACTATGTAAATGTTAATGTATAATAAGCATCAACATGAGCAGTTGCAAGATAAGCTAAAATGGAATAGTGCCTTTACATATAATGGTGAGAGACTGCAGGTTTTGAAATGGCAGTGTAATTATTTTGGCTTATTGGAATATAGAAATCGTTATTTCTTATTATTTCTTCCTTTTCAGCGGAAGTACAGAGTGAGATTGAGCGAATTTTTGAATTGGCACGGTCCTTACAACTGGTTGTTTTAGATGCAGATACAATCAATCACCCAGCACAACTTATTAAGACATCCTTAGCTCCGATTATTGTCCATGTTAAAGTGTCATCTCCAAAGGTAAGATTAGCCTGTGTGTTTGTAATTTGCTTTGGGAACAGTACATAGGCCACCTTTGTAAGCTTCCGATTCCCACCAAACAGCAGCGGCGGGGGCGGTGGGACAACCCTTCTTTTTGATGTTATTTTCCTTCTGAATAGACATGTCCAGAGTCAGAACATTGCTGTTGATCATGTGTAGCAGTGAGTATCTTTGGCAATTCATCTCTCCTCAGGTCCTACCAAAATGCCTCAGTTGCACCAGTGTTCTGCTCAAATTTGCACAGCCGTGGCAGAGCCATGATGATCAATATGTGAAGTGGCCTTGCGAGATACACAGGGAGGTGTGAGCTTCACAGTGATTCCTTCTAACCAGCCTAAAGCAATGAATTGAGCATGTTGTGCTTTGGCTTTGGTTGTTGGGACAGTGCTTTTTCTCTCCCATGCGTCCTCATTCTGTTTTTTTAGGACAAAAACTTTGATCCATTCAGTGCTATAGTTCCTAATATAGAGAGCACTGAAAAATACATCTGACTGTACACTCAAATCAGAATATTTGTAAGATACTTGCCTGTGTAGTCTATCCTTAGGGCCAAAATAGAAATTATTTTAAATCTGTGTCTAGCAGGTCTGTGTTTAAATCTGTCTCTTCCCTTTTTCCTTTTTGTACTCTAGAATAGGCTTAAGCCCAATTAAGATCCAGACCATAGCATATAGGAGGGCCCTGCACTGACATTAGAGTAAAAATGAACAAAAACTGTAGCTGCTAGACACAGATTTAAAGTAATCTCTGTTTTGATCCTGAAAGGCTGCAGGCAAGGCAGCTACCCATGCAATTCAGGTGATCCAAAAAGTAACATGACACTTGTACCACTATTTGGCACTGTTGTCTTATGGAAGTGTTCTTTTACCCCACACAAGATAGCATGTCCCCCATTACACTTGAACTTAAGTTTAGCCTTCCAGCAGAACCACCTATTTCCGGGCTTCATTCAGTATAGTGTATATCAACCTTCCCCAACTGTGTGCCTTCCAGACATGTTTGGACTGCAACACCGTGAATGGCCCTGCTGGATGGAAATTCTGGGAGTTGTGGTCTAAATACCTCTGAAGGCCACCAGGTTGGGGAAGGCTGGTATATATGATATATATTATGCCAGAATTTGTATGTGTGCATATACATTTTATTTAGTAAACCAAGTCAATTCATGTATTACATACTGCGTGTGTACATCTGCCAGTGATTAAGATCGATAAATGGACACTTTGCAGATGTTTGTTCAAAAGTGGAAGAAGACATTCCTCTTAAGTTTGCTTGATAGAGCAGAACCCACGTAACGTTCAAGAATCCCCAGACACTCTCTGATACTTACCAAGGCAGGAAACAGTCTTCTCATCTTTGCTGGTGTGGGTGTTTTCCTTTCCCTGGTAAACCCTCTGTTTCTTCCCCTCTACATCTTTGTCTAACTTCTGTCTTCCCACTTTTCTTTGTGTGGAGGTATCAGCTTTTCAAAGATACACTTTGTAAAGTTCTCTGTAAGGTTAGCATGTAAACTTACTATAGCTGCTGGTATAGCCATGTTGGTTGAGGATATATACTATCAGTTCATAGATCCCATTTCTCTTAGTGTAGAAAATCTGAGTTTTCCTTAGATAAGTCATTATTTCTCAGATGTAATTTTAAGTCAACCCATGACCACACAGGATGTTAACTCACCACTGGACTTAGTGTGTCATGCAGTCCCAGTGTGTTTGTGTGCACATGTAGAACAAATAGATAGGTAGTAGCTAACAAATACTTCTAAAGATTAGGAGTTGGTCCCTGACTTGTCTGTGCTTGTTGTACAACAGCAACCTTCCTGGGTAGAACTCTAATCTGGAAAAACACTTTGTAATGAACAACTATGATACTATTCTTAAGATTTTAAATAATATTAAAAGCTAAACATTCCTTCATATTGGAGAAGAAAACTACATCCAAGGTGTCAAGCAGATGCAGAGAAGTGGGTGTTCTGAAGTCTTTTTTTTTTTTTTTAAACTAAAAGCAGCTGTGAGGGATGGTTATTTGGATTAGAACCATGGCACAGGGTGATTGACCAATTGTCCCATACCAGTTCCCTGAACTCCCCTGCTACACACTTACATATACACACCAAATAAAGCTGTGATTAGGCTCAGACTGGAAATGTACAGCTTTCAATTTAAAGTTCTAATTTGGTTCCCTCCAGACTATAATTCCTATCACTCTGAAAGGCCACACTATCTGAGAATGACTAGCGTTTTAGTCTAATACATTTCAAGGTAACCAGGTTGAGGAACGATGCTCTAATCTTGTATATATTTACCTGGGAGTAAATCCCACTGGTCGCCAATGAGACAATTCTGAATTGAATTGACCTGCATAGAATTGCACTGTCAGCCCATCATTTTTGCCTTCTGCAACAATTTTGAAGAAGGAAGCAGTTTAGATATGGACTTCAGCACAGTCCCTGATCCAAATGTTGTTCACTCGCACTGACATCACAACTGCTTTTTATAAAATAAACAGGTATCAGGAATTCCAGCTTTCATCAGACTCTCAGGACCAACTCTCATAGGTGAACTTCCACTGTATATGTGGTTTGACTTATGATTGAATCAGATTTTTACTCCCAGACTGAAGTTTAAAGTGTATAATCTACTGTTACTATACCAGCGGCTTATTTATTAGTACTTACCTGCTGATATGTTATCAAACATCCCTGTGGTGTTAATTATTGTACTGTGTAACCTGTTCTTTTGTAACACAGGAAATGGTATGCAAGGTGGAGGCGAGGCAAGCAGGAGGGGGAAGCTGTTCTTTCTGCCCAAAGGACCTAGAACAAAACACTTTAAACAATGAAATTAAATTATAGTACATAGAGAGGTACTGCAACACTTCTAATTATGAACTTTGGGTAATAAGCATATAATGAGTTAATTAAGATCCATATGTATTTAATTACACCCCTAACCCAAACTAAAATCTCTGTATTGAACTGTTGTACAGTATACCACATACTATATCTTACTAGTGTCACTACACCAGGAGCAGTTGTGATTATGATTTTAAAAGACTAAGCACAGGAAGAGTGGCTATAGTAAGCAGGCTGCTGTGCTGCTTAGTCCTTGAATTACTCCTAGTACCCAGATGGATGCAACACGAGTCATTTAGGTTGTTCTGGAAGGGAGATGAGAAAGTTCTGGCAAAAGAGTGCTTTACTTCTGAGAAGCGCTGAACCAAATTTATGTAAGTAGAATTCTTGATCATCCTAAACCATTGGCCATGTTGACTGAGCCTGATGGAATCTGAAAAAACATCTGGAGGAGACTAGGTTGTGGAAGGCTGGTATAAATAATGGAGAGAAAACCTGTCCGTCTTGTTGATATCCAGGAACTGAATTTAGATTTGTGAGGCTTGAGCTGCATCAACAATGTACTGATTTGTTATGCATTCTGGAAATAATCTTACCATCATGTCCATCTTCTCTTCGTGCAGGTCTTGCAGAGACTGATCAAATCAAGAGGAAAGTCACAAAGCAAACACTTGAATGTTCAGTTGGTTGCAGCAGATAAACTTGCACAATGTCCACCAGTAAGTAGACTGGGACAGATTTTCATTCTGTGCATCTTTGGAGGGGTCATGCAGATTCACACATTAACAGAAGGTCTCATGCAGATGTAACACCCATTTTAATGTCAGGGTCCCCCCTTACTGGCTGGGCTATAAATATCAGCCGATCAGTCCTCCAATGTGTTGGAAAATGGGCCACAAGTCTCACAAAGGGAAACACTCATCTTTCCACCTCCTCCCAATGTTCATGGTAGTGTTGTGCTGAGATCTCAAAGGTTACAGTAGCAATGAAATCTAGTGTTCCTTTCTTTGTCATCTCAGTTCTTTTCCACCCACAGCACCAGAGAAAGTGAAAGCCCTCTCAAATTGCAAGGTCCAGTGTATTGCCTTTCTGTCACTCAGTAATTTTCCACTGATTTGTACTTGTGATAGTGAAGGGAAAGGAAAACACAGTGCCTGCTGCTCAGATAATACTCAGCAGAAAGTAAAATGAAGATATAAAGTGTTATGTTCCATACACTTCAATATAATGCTGTGCAATTCAGTGAACATTCTTGAAACAATCCAGTTGCAATCAAAACATTTGAATTAATGGAATTGTTCCCCATTGATTTCATATAAATGAAAGCTTTTCATTTGAAAGCTGCTTCCAGTATATTCTTCTCCCACTCTGGTTAGTACCAGTGAAGGCAGAGTGATAGGCAAACACAGGCAAAGTAAATGAAATTGCTGTGCATCCTTGACTCCATTCTGCAATCTATGCAGACTGTGAACTTATCTTCCAGTTGAGAAGCTGAAGCAAAGTGAATTAACTGTGTTTGAGAAGGGTCTGTAAGCCCACACATTATTCTCATTTCATTTTTAGATGTCTAAAATACTGTCTATGCTCTTAGAACCCTTTCCAGCTTCTTGTGGAAATGGCATTTATATGGATTGTACTCTAGAACTTGCCTTGGAATAATGAGAAAGGGGAGTTTGTTAACCTATCCCTTTATTTTGCCCCTTTTCCTTTCTTACAGTAGGGCAAACAAGAAAGTGGATATACTTTGTCCCCTGGTAAGAAAACAAAACACCTGCAGATGGTGTATGCCATCTTTCCAGATGTTTTAGACTACAACTCCCAGTATTGCAGATACTTGTATGGGCTAGGTGGAGCTGATAGGAGTTGGTGCAAGATATTTGGAGGGTACATATTGTGGAGAACTGATGTATGCTTTCACACTTCCTGATCAGAAAGATCTGCTGCCTAATATCCTATTAATGATCATATTAATGACACACCTATCACTGCAAGACTCATTACCTAGCTATAAGTGCTGCCCAATATAGTTTTCATATGGTTGGAGAGGAACACAGCTTTGTGTTGTAGAAGCCAGGATGGGAAAATGAAATTTAGAAGAGCAACATATTAGCAAAACTGAATTAATGTCCATTGTCACCTCCTCCTAGAAGCTTCAAATAACTGGACATATCCAGAGTGTATGTCCAAGGCATCCCTTCATGGCTGATCAGTACTGACACCCCCAACCCCTCCTATTTCCCACCATGCATCTTATGTGGTTATATTGGAACACAGTTAGCCTGCTTACCATCTGCTGAATTAGCCTGAAACTAGTAGTCTGATCCTACAAGGAGTTAGGTGTGCCTTCATCTGTTAAAATCGGTGGATGTAGGCATTTCTTCCTCTGCATAAAATGAGGCTGTAACATCCAGTGAAGCCCAGTTTGGAAGACAAGTTCAATTTCCATTAATCTTTAGATTTCTTTACCATACTCCCCATCCCCTTGGTGCCTTGGTCTATTTTCATCAAAATGTTGCATCAAGATCACTGAGACCTGGGTGGGGGAAATGCCCATTTATGCTCTGCCTGGGTACTTAGTGCAACACCAACCTCACCTTGGGAATCAAGGAGAGAGAATGGGTGTAGTCTATAGGAGCATGTTACCTCTCTCTGCTTCCTGTCCATCGGATGAGCTTGGTGGCCAAGAGCACCTTTTATCACCTTCAGTTGATTTATCAGCTCCTTCCCTATCTGGACAGGTGGAACCTGGCAACAGTGACGAAGCCCTGGTAACCTCTCATTTGGACTACTGTAATGTGCTTTATGTGGGGCTGGCTTAAACCTTTAAAATGGTCTGGAAATGTCAATTGAATCAAAATATTTGCACCCCACCTCTTAACAAGAACTCCAAGGCACGAACATATAACCCCAGTGTTACACCATCTGCACTGGTTGCTAATTGAAGTCCAGGCCCACTTTAAGGTGCTTCCATATAAAACCCTAATTGGTTTAGAACCTGAATATCTGATGGAATGTCTTCTGCTATATACACCTCTCCGGACCTTAAGATAATCATCAGAGGCCCTTCTCTGGGAGTCACTGCTAAAAGATGTAAGGATGATAGCCACTAGGAGAAGGCCTTTTCACCTGTGATGTCCTATTTGTGGAACCAGCTCCCCAGATAGGTGTGCCTGGTGCCCTTTTATACTTTTAGGCACCAGGGTAAATAAAACCTTTTGATTTTCCCAATATTTTATCTGTTGAAATTTTTATTGTTAATTTATATTTTATTATAAATGTGAATTATTTGATTATTTAATTACTATTTATCTAGTCTTATTGTTTTTATTTCTTATTTTTTCATTATTCTTGAATATCTTTAATGATTTATTTATTTATTTATTTATTTATTAAAGCATTTCTATGCCGCCCCATTCGCCGAAGCCTCGGGGCAGCTCACAACATTAAGTTAAAATACAAACATTAAGTTATAACATTAAGTTAAAATGTTTGTAAAATGCAAACATTAAGTTAAACTACAGAACATAACAATATAAAATAAGTCGCCCTGGCCAGCTAAAATCCAATAATATTAACAATTAAAATGATGCTTAAATAAAAAGGTCTTCGCCTGGCACCGAAAAACAAATAACGACGGTGCCAGGCAGACCTCTCTGGGGAGCGCATTCCATAGATTAGGCGCCACCGCAGAGAAAGCCCTCCTCCGAGTCCCCACCCTCCTGATTTCTTTCACGGAGGGTTCCTGGAGAAGGGCCTCTCCCGCAGATCTCAAGGGGCGGGCAGGCGTATATGGATGTAAGCGCTCCTTCAGGTAACCAGGACCCAAGCCGTTTATTACTGTCATTTGTTTTTGTTTATTGCTGATATGTTGACTTGTTATATTTTAATCTTGTAAACCATCTAGAGAGCCATTAGGCCAATAGAAATGGTATAAAATGTTTAAAATAAATAAAATCAAGAACATTGAAATTTTAGGTGGAGACTGAAAGATGAGGCCTATGTCTTCAAAAGTGATTCCCTATAGTTATGCTTTTATGTGATGGCGCAATAGTGTTGCTCCACCAACTAGCTTTTAAGCACCCGGTCAGCTGTGTGTGTGGCAACTTTTTTGTTGCTATTGACCCTGTCCATGACATTGGAATAAAGATCCCACTCTCATTGTTGGAAGATTACTTTCTATCATGCCTTCCCTACCAATAGATACCTCTCCTGTATGTCTTACAGATCATGGAAGCAAGTTGTACAATTGTATTACTTTGGTATGAAGAAATGTTTACATTTCTAGATTGCACCATAATGCTAGCCTTTCTCGGATGTTTTCTTTGTAAGATGAACCAAAAAGCCAGTAAATGCATATGCAGGTGTTTCCACCATCCACCCCACCCTAAGGGGACCTGGCAATGACCATTAAATACTAGAAATTCACCAGAAAGCCATGTGTGCAGATCTTTCAGGCAATCTCTATTTTCAAAGAGAAAACTGGGCTTTGAATGCTTGTTGCAGCCTTGCAATTGTGGAGTTGTTGGTATAGCACCAAATGACTACTGGAACATCCTGTGAAAGTGCTGGCTGCAGGACATGCTACCCTGTTTGGAAGCCATTGAGTCACAGGAACTGGATGTCTGGCATTCCTCTGGTGTTTGACAAGAGAACTGTTATTTGTGTGGCATGCAGATGTCAGTAAGTTTGAAGTGCTGCTATGTGGGCTGTTGTCAGTCCAAAAGGAACATGTTTAGGAAAGCCTTGCTGACCCTGAAAAGAAGCGCATTGCCAGGAACAGGTAGGGGCTGCCCAGGAGGCAGCAGCTGAAGGCCCAGTCCGAACTGCCTCTGACCAGCAGCGTGTGGTCCTTATCTCAGGCAGCTGACCAGAAATACTCTCTGTATTCAATGGAATCATGACGTTCTATTCTAAATCCTTGTTTGCTGCTAGTGTGTATAGGAACAAGTATCATGTTGCTCCCGAAGACCTCACCAAGAATTTCAGATTCTGAATTAATCTGGACCCATTGCAGACATGAAATCTGTCAGACATTAAGCATGCGATGAGCCTTTAAAAAAGGTGCAATGCTTTCTTTTACACTGCTATTAATATTACTCTCCTCTTCCATGCTATTTTAAAGCTTGCTGAGCATGTTCCTTCTTCCTGTCCTTCCCCCACACAACACACACCCAAGTAAAATATGACAACTTCTCTGTTCTAGGGAAAGAGTTCCAGAATTTTTTAACTGCACAAGCGCTCTTTTGATCACGAGTTTGCTTTTGTTATTGTCACCTGTATGTATACCCTTCATGCCAGCACTCTGTAACCCAAATAAGGCTGGTCCCGCCCCCCTCAGGCGTTCTGGGAGAGTTTGCATTACTTGCTCAGCCAGGATTTAGTGTTATGGGCTCAAGCAGGAAGGAGATCATTGACAGACTGGCTGGAGGGTGAACCAGGCTTCACTTTCACTGGAGCAATTTTTGACTTGTTACACAGGAACCAGACATTGTGATTTGAAAGAAATTCTAGTCATTTGCTGAATCAACAAATAACAAACTGTGGATTGTCTTTCTGCCTTGTTAAACAAACTACTGCTTCTATTAGACTTTAATTTCTAGTTTGCATGTAACAGTAAAATGTGAATCTACTAAAGTGAAACAGAAACTTCATTTATTCCTTTCTCTAGCCATGTAGGAGAGGGGAGGTTGAAGCCTGGCAATTCAGACAGGGGCCTTTCTGGTCATGCATATAACAGTAATTTGTGCTTTAGTATTATATGCCATTCTTTCCAGCTGAAATCTTTTCTCAGCCTCCTTTTTTCAAAAATCTAGCTACGCTTTCATAACTTCTGTTGTGAATAGTTATCTTCAACTATTTACACATAATAGTTGGGAAAAGAAAGGTGTTGAAAGAATGCTAAAGCTCGGCAATGTGGCAAGCTAATGGCAAAGTGTCTGAGGCTATTGAAAATGGTTGTGCGGAAGATACTTGTAGTGGCAGAGGAGAGAGAAAGCGAGCCAGGATGAATAAGAGAAAATTGTCAAGGGTTGATCCAGGGTTACACAAAGACTTCTGTTTCCCAGCTGCTCTCAACTCTCTTCTGAACAGGAAATGTTTGATGTCATTCTGGATGAAAATCAGCTTGAAGATGCGTGTGAACACTTGGCAGAATATCTTGAGGCCTACTGGCGTGCCACACACACTACCAGTAGCACACCCATGACACCTTTGCTTGGAAGAAACCTAGGCTCCACTGCACTATCCCCTTACCCTACTGCAATCTCTGGATTACAGGTATGAGTCCATGCTTTCATCACTGATATGCAACCGCTCCATGATTTAGATCAGAGCTAATGGCACTTGTATAAATTCCTCTGTACAGCTGTTGACCCATTTTCTCATAGAAAATTTACACTAATTCATGCCAAAAAAAATGTTGGCATAAATAATAAAAATCATAATGTGGAATTCCTTTCATGCACATGTGTACATTTAACCCCGTAGTGTTTCGGGGTGTAATCAATGAAAATGTTCAGTCTATGTACTAGAAAATATTCATTTCACTAGCAAAGGCCCATTTGGGCTGGCCCATGAATGCACGTGCATCATCTGAATTCCTATGTGCAGTTTTGGGTTCAGTGTGATTTACTCCCAAGTCAGCCTATAAGTGCTGTATCTTTCATGTTTCAACACTTGAGAACTTCCACTTGTATGTACAAAACAATGTTCATGTAATATGGATTTTTGTTTAATTATTAATTTGGGATAGTTTGTTCCCAAATACAAATCACTGAAATGTTACAACCAACAAGTAATAAGCAGGGATGTGAGAACTGGCCTTAGCTGAAAAAGCAACACCCTCCCCACAAGAGCCAATTCATATAGGTTTTGCTGTGCTTTGATACACATTAATACTGTTGTGCCAAGACTGAAGAATAACACCTCTTACCTTTTTGCAAAGAAAAATATGCTGTCCAGGATGCCGTTAGAAGATAAGTGGGTGACTAATATATGCTGCTAAGTACTGCTGTAGGTAGACTTGCAAAGTAATTTTCCTTCTTCCTTTTTCACATGTTGACCAGTTCACAAAAGTTATAATATCATGCTAGTCCCTCTCCTTTCTAATTTACTTTGTTTCTTCCCAGAGGTAATACTTTGGCAAAAACCCATTCATCTGTTCTGATTTTTTTAAAATGCTGAATAGACTATTATTCCCATTATAAAAAGATTCTGACCATTTTTTTCCACAGGGATAGCTCAAAAACGGCTGGCCTTTGAAACTTCAAACGTGGCATGTAAATAGTCCTTAATGAGAAGTACGTGTTTTACTAAGTTTGGGAAAAATGTCTTTTCAGTACAAGTTCTGTATGTTTGTAAGTGTAACATCAAGAGTACACAGACCAATTTCACCAAAGAGCTCCGCATGTCTGTGTGGCTTTTGATATGTGTACACTTTCCACTGTATGTCATCTAGAGAGCTGAGCAAATTCGTAACTCTGTCTACTGATAACAAAAAATGCAGGAGATCCTATTCCTTAATATACTCATTCACGATAAAAGTTCACTGTTGCTTTTTCTTCACTGCATGTATGCAGAAGCCAGTATTTAAATTTCCAATATATGTTTGATTTTGTTAGGCCAGCTTCATCACATGGTATTGTTTCTGCTTAGTGACTGGTTAACTGTGCAAGCAACAATTTGAGTTCTGTGGATACATGCTTGTTTTTATGTGACAATGTTCATTTTTCAGCTTGTTTGTGTTGGCATATCCTTTTTCTTGAACTTTGACTCTATGCAAAGTGAAAAGCGTGTTGGTGGAGCAAATTCATTTAGACAACTCTGTATATACACACACGGAATTCCCTGTACCCCAATGTTTCCATCCATTGCTGATGTGTTGTCACAAGTGAAGAATGCCAGGTTCTGACCAGCTTAGAAAGTCTGTTTTCATGTAGCATTAACTAAATATGTCTCAGGCTGAGACCTCTTCTAGGGACCACTGATAGAATCTCGTTGAGACACAGTTACTTGTAAGGGTCCCAGTTGGTGGCCCACCTTGTTTTGGGCCAGCTACAGGCACTGTAAATGATATGCTAGCATAGACCAAGTGAATGTCTTCTGAGTGGCTAACAGGGTAAGTTGCCACAGTATTAATATATGAGGCTAAGGCTGAAGTCTGAGCAGCCCAGTATAACTGTAGGTGTGCCCTACATATTTAAATAAGTTTCTATACATTTAACTGATAGAATTCTCTGTCACAGGGCCTTGGGAACTCTCAACTAAGAGTTCTGAGGAGAGTAATGATTTTTACAAAGAAAGAAGTCTCAGTGTCATATAGTTCATGTTTGTCAGATTCCTTAAAGTACATGGAACTTGCCACGGATATTTGTTCTTACCTCATATCATAAATCAACCATAATGTTACCCACATAGCAAAAGTAAAAACCATTCTGTTGAATGGATGTAATCATATACATACCTCTCAAATATCCCTGATTTTTACCCTGTTATTTGAGTTTATCCCCTTGGTTTTATACCTGTAGTTCCTGAATCTGACTATATTCTTCTGGATTTGCCTGACGTATGTCTATGAGCTGCTACAAGCAGATGCAATGAGTACAAAAATAAAGGGGGCTTTTCTTCTTCTTTTTAGCTGTTTTAACCATATAGATTCAGTGAGAGAGCAAAATAGGGGGTGAAGCAGCAGCTCATTCTATATTCTGATCTCCATTTGTTTAGCTTGATTTTCATTTGATGAGTTCAGAGATAGTGAAACAACTACATAATAAATTTACCTCAGTGACGGAAAACTGCTGATACATCCAGTAAAGAATAAGACAAAAATTTCAAGAGGAGGAAGGGCATGTTCAATTTTATTTAGCAGCTTCAGGGAAGGGACACACAAAGAACATTTAAAATAATGGTTAAGGTGATGGGGAGAAAGCAGATTAATTTAGAATTCTCAGAAACACAAGAATATTTCAAGACCCGCCTTTAGGGAAGTTCTTATTCTGAACTTTGGACTAAAATAGATCCATAACCTTAATCCTGAACTTTGTGTTGAAAAGTCCTTCTTGCTGCCAAATATTTTAAAATAATATAATATAGAAAGATACCACATTCCATCATTTTCTCACATCAGCTTGAAACAAGACAGTGATCCTAAGTCTAAATAGAAGTCAAATGCCTTTTAAATGAATGATGGCAGCATATGGATTCTGAAGGCCCTCACAAGATCACGACTTATTCAAAAGGATCAAAATTAATTTATTTGCCCCCCCCCCATTTTAATGCTTCAATTGTTTGCTATTTTTAGAGCCAACGTATGAGGCATAGCAACCATTCTTCGGAGAATTCTCCAATTGAACGGCGAAGTCTAATGACCTCTGATGAAAACTACCACAATGAAAGGGCTCGGAAGAGCAGGAACCGATTGTCTTCCAGTTCCCAACACAGCCGAGATCATTATCCGCTTGTCGAAGAAGAGTACTCCGACTCATACCAGGACTCATACAAACCCCATAGAAACCGAGGATCCCCTGGAGGATATAGCCATGATTCCCGACATAGGCTTTGAGTACAAGGACCTAGGGGGAAATGGTATTCATTATTTGCCAACTTGCCATAACATAGTTAGGCCAAACCAATCACCTTGATTTGGCAGATGGGGCATGGTTTTACTGTGCTTACAGGCTGCTGCCATTTAATGCTATAAATGGGGCAAAACATAGAGATCATGCCCTTTATGCTTAGGAAGAAATGCGTTTGCTCAGTCACTTAGGTGTGTTTTCTTTCCAGTGTAGCATTTGATTTCAAACAGTATCTTTGCTTTTCATTAGGTATTATTAGACACATCAATTTGTAACTTAGGATACCTGTTGAGGCGCATATAAAATAATTTCCTGCACTGGAAATTCCAAATGACCAGTTCCAGTTGGAACCAATTTATAAACCAATTCCTGTTGGAATTTGGGAGAAATTGACTGGAAAGTCAAGCTGAGCATGTTGCAGTCAGTTAAAAAATAATTTAAAATGAAGAAGAAAATTACAAAATCATTATAAGCAAAAATAAAAATAAAAGCTAGTTCTTGTCTACTGGAAGGTGAATTTATATATAGATATGGTTAGAATAAGTAATTTTAATGTATTTATTTCAGACTAACCAAACACAAAACAGTTAATAGTGCCAAAAAATAAAACAAAAAACAAATGAATGGAGCAGTCAGAACACTTTCCAGTTTAAATATCAGTGTTTTTTTTTCTCCCAGCATATATGTCATGGAAAAACTGTATTGTGTTGATACTTCTTTCATTTGCTAATTTAATGACGATATAAAATTATTTTATCAACTTGAAATAAAGTCGGAATGAAGACAAACACAGCATTTTTTAAAAGGCTGAAGTGGCCCACACTCCCTGCCTTGAAAAGATGCTTGTCGTCACAATTTGCGCCTTCAGAATTCATGGGGGTGGTTGCGCAGGATTCTGCCTGGTGCCTTACTCCCCACCTTTCACATGTTCTGTGGAAGGTGCAAACTGTGCTGTAGGTGCATGCAATTTCATGCAGGAAGGCTCTTCTGCACAGTTAGAAAGCCTGAATGGCACGCACGGTAGAACTCTGTTCATCCCTTTCCCTGGCTATTTCCTCAGCTCCACCCTGTACTCCTGAATGGATTTTGAAGGTGTAAACAGAACTTTTGTCTTCACTTTAGCAGCAGGAAGATTCCAGAGATTCCAGTTCAACTGGATTTGCAAAAGTTTGCAAATAACATTATCTTTTCTTTCACTAGCAGTACTATCCTCTATCAGCCACAAGGCTCATACTTTTCTTAATGTTCTATTTTGTCAAAGAAAGATTGGCCTTGTACTATTTTTAAGATGCATTCATGCTAGAATTTAATCCTGTGCACTAATATCTCCAGAAGTAGTATTGTATCATTGTTCCTACCAAAGAGCTTATCACATGGTAATTTATCAAAAAGATTTATCAAAAAGTCATGGTAGCCTGTTCCATATTAAAAGGGAAATGGACTCTATGGACTTGGCAGCAGAGCTATTCCAGCCAGTTGAAGCACTGCAAGAAGATGTACATGAGGTGAGATGTTTTGGTGAGGATGCCTCTTGGTTGTGAGTGCTTGCCTTCCCATGCAGTGCCTACACATGGCAAATGATTTTCTTTATTGTGTTACAAAATACAATGTACTGTTCTTCTAGTCTGAATGCATCACCTCTCACGTACAGCAAAAATACTTCAAAATTGTATACATGGAAGTCATGTCTTTTGTTTTTTCTTCCTGATTCAAATCCCTTTGTACTATGTTACATATACAAAATTCCTGCTTATGTTGGTGTCCTCGTGCACATCAGTGTTAAGCATAGCTCAGTACACACTGCCCTTTGCATGGACAGGTCTCCTCTTCCTCCTGAAGTGCAGTACTTGTAGTAGCTTCAGTTCAGTACCAGAAATCCCTCTTCCATGTGAGGGAAGCTGCTTGAGGAGATGGATGCTCACCCACCACCCTTGTTTTTAAAGATGTAGGAGAAATGTCTACTGCAGTGCTAGAAAACGAAAAGCAGAAACATGCAGATTCTAAAATAAATATGCAAAATTTATTGAAGCAAAGGGGCATTGTTACAAGGAAAGGTGCAACACACCTGCATCTAGAAGAAATGTAAAAATTCCTTATAGAAATCACTATATATACCTTGATATAGAAAACAACTAGAAAACAAGCTATATCAAAAAGAACCACTATCTTGGGAAAGACTGGGCATATTTGTTGATGTGTAGTTTAGTTTATTTGATGGATTAAGCTGAAATAATTTCCAAGATCATACTTTACCATTGGGAATAGTTCTTCAGGACACCTAATAATAAAATAACATAAATTGCTAGAGAGGATTATTCAATTTCTTAAAAACAAACCCCACCTTCCATCTCTCAGGCACTCATGAGTGTATCAAGAAGTTTGGAGTACTTCCCAGTGAGATACAGTCCTAAAATGTGGTACACATGTAGTTCAAATTTCCCTGATTGGTAGCGGGGAAAAGTCTGAATGTAAAAAATTTAAACATATCTCTAAAAATGGGAGGTGCCACCATGATCAAGATATTTCAATACCACTGACATTTGGCACATACATATGGTGAGGCGTGCTGATTACTAGATACAGAGACCATGAAGAAGACATTTATACATTTATCCCTACAAATGGGATGGGGAAAGGACTACAAGTATACCTCCAATTATAAAGTCACATTGAGGCATGAGAAAACTGATACATAATCCAAGCCATTCAGATGACTAATAATTGACATTTTCATATTTAATTATTGAAATGTAGGGCACAACATCTGTCTCATAACAGAGACTTCGAAGAAGATTCCTGTTTTGTTTTAACAAAGTGCCCCACTGCACATTGTGGTGCAGGCTGAGTTGTGGAAGCTCTATTAGATTTTGATTTGGGAGAGGAAGAGTTTCCAATATCAACAAGGAACATCCACATGTACATGCATATACCAGTTTCATTTGCTAGTCTGTGCGATATAAAAGAAATATATACTGCCCTGACATGTTCACTCACAGAACATTAAAAGCTGTTACAGATGGGCAGAATCCAATGAGCTGCATGTTACCCTAGGTACCCTGGTTACTAGAAAAGTCTGAAAAGGACGTTCTTATATATGTCCATCAAGGCTGAGGACATGATGCTTACTTCAGAGTGGAGACCAGCGCTCCAACACAAACTCACATATGGGCACAGTATAACTGGTGGAAATGCATTGTCTCGCATCAGTCTTGGGAGAATGGAGTGGATTTTAGTAGCAGCCAAGAACTCTTTCTAAAAAATGATTGTTGTAGCTACTGCAATTGAGTTTACCTATGGTATTGCATATGGCTTGTAACCTGGCTGGAATGTCTGGAGATGCTATATTTATATGAGCGTTTGCTGACCTGCTTCTGCGTGGATAGTTGTGGCACTTTTATGTATGAACTGAATCTGTGAAGTAGAGCAAATTCATCCCATAGAATATGAACTATAAAGGAACATTTGAACTTGCTGTGAATTTCCATTCTCGGGTTCTAAGGTGGGGCTGTCTGTAAGTTTGGGAGCAGCCTCCTGATTGGCAGGCAGGGCTCCAGATATAAGCAACACAAAGTGGGAGAGGCATAGAAGATGCAGCTTTAGCCCTCATGTGAAAAGCACATACAAAAATCACAAAAAAGCCATGAGGTATAAGTGCCCTAACTGACACACATTAAAGGGGAAATGCTGGGAAATCCTACTGGACTCAACCTCAGCATTGGATGCTGAGATGTCCAGCAAAAGCAAAGCAGAGGCTCCTGACTCAAGCATCTGTCTCTGATGTTCACATTCAGATTTTTACTTCCTTTCAATCTCATTCTTACTTTATTTTTAAGGGGTGGGAACTCCTGAGAATATATATATTCACTGTTAAGTTCTTTTTTCCCCCTTTCCCCAGTGGTCCCAGGGTAGAACAGTCTATTAGTTTCAGAGAAACAGTACAGCCTTGTGGTGGGATTATATTCTCTGATATACTAAACACAACCATTGGGAAGATACATCAATTAACTGCTGCATTAAAGAAGGTAAATGTATTGATACAATAGTGCCTACTTCATGGCCTGCAATGGCTTTCCTATTTACCAACCAACTCAAGGCAAGTTCTTGCATCTGGAAGGTGCAGAAATTTTCAAGGAATTAAGTGTAATGCCTTTCAGTAGGAAATGATTCTGGGACAGATCAATCAGTCTAAAGTTTCCTATCCATATAGTCACAGAAACCCCAGAATTCAGCTAAGATTTCCAGCAGATAAGAACAAGATTTAAACTTTCTGGCTCCCTGAGAAAACTAAGCATCTGTTTCCAGCATGGGTTTCAGCTCCTGGGTGGCAGTCTAGTGCTGAACACTAGAGGGAGAGGGATGGGTAGCTGAAGGGAGGGGAGCCACCAACCATCTCCATTTTGACTACCTCAAAGGCCAGGCTTCAGCGCTGCCGGTTGCTCCTTGCTGCTTGCGAATCCAGCACCTCTTGACAGGAAGGGAAGTAGTAGTTGCAGCTTTCCTCTTGCTTGTTTTTGTTTTGTTTTTTAAGGATCGGATAGAGACAGGGTTGTCCTTTTTCATTCTGTTGTACTTGAACTGCTGGGCAATAGTGTGCTGTCATTTGTCTTTTGCCACACTTCATGGTTTCACTCCATGAAGACAGACAAAGAGTCGCTTTCTCTCAGGAAAAAATGGAGAGAGAGCTGCCTATACTCCATGTAACACTGCAGTAGGGTTTTGGAGGTGTTCTGTAGCTTCTTGCCACGAAAGAAGAGACATCAGCCTCTTAGGAAGGAAAACGGCTCCTTATTCTAGAGGTGAATGCAACCAAGGCCCGTTGCCTCCACTTATGAGTAACATCCATCTTAAGTACTACCAGAACAGGCTGCTGCTGCCTCTGACTCCCCTCTCTGCTGGGACGCAGGAAGTCCCTCCTTGAAGTATGAACCCTCAAATCACCAGCCCCAGTTTACCAAACTTACAGAGCCTCAGTGCTCTTCCCACATTTGTAAGAGGAGGGAAGGCTGTTGCCACTTCGGGAGGAAGAACTGACAACTGCATGCCTGACTGGCTCTCTGAGTGGGGAAACAGAAGGCTGGAGCAACTCCTAGTAACATTGCCAAGAGGGAGAACAGTAAGAAAACTAGGATAGGCTCTAGGAAGTGACTTTTTGGATATTACTCACAGCTCCTTCACTGCTATCTTGGTTTCCATGGGCTGTAGCTGCTGCTAGGTGCCATTTTATGGCTGTCGCAAGCTGACGAACATGGAGTGGAGTGGTGGCCCCCAAGTTACGATTGAGGAGAGTGATCATGGGGACTGGGCTCTTCCACCACCTTCACATTGGTGCCCCACTGCTGTGAGGCACCGTGGAACGCCATGGGATGCACATGGTGGTAGGTCATGGTGGCCGAGCAACCGCTTTGCCCCATTCCCAGCCAGATCAGGTGGTGGGGAGGTGAAAGAAATATGCAGCTTCCCTTGGTTGGGCACTGGCGGCTTTCCTGCTCTGCTTGAGAGGAGGAGAAACCAAGGAGTGTGCCAGGAACAGAAGGCCCTCTCTGTTCGGCAATGTGCTTTCCTCAATGGGACTCTCTGCTCAGACTTTGGGGATCCAAGCACAGCCAAGCCCCTACCTAAAAGGGGGGATTTTTTCTACAGGTTAGTAAGTTGCTGAAATGCATTTCAAATAGTGTTACAAAAGCTCTTGTTACCTGCTGGCCAGGCAAGAGCTGTGAGGAGAAGCCCCTCTAGTGTTTCATGCTAGAACCCTGTTTGCCAACTGAAAAGAGGGGCTTCCCAAGACATATAGGCTGCATTACCCTGGAACCACTGGAGATTCTAAAGTTTGAACTGTGAAATTATATTATGAAAGCATTATTCACAGTGAGCACATTCAGAGGGTATTTTTAATTTAGGCAGTTTATTTCATTTTTATACCACTCAATAGTCCAAAGGCAGTTATGACTATAGGATGCTCTGTAATCTACATGGTCCTTCCGGGTGAGGTTTTTCTTGCGCTATCCATGGGCCTCAAGCCTGCAATTTTATGCACCAATAAAAGGTATTTTTAAAAACCTGGTTCTAAGAGGAAAAAATCTCAGGTTGGGGATGTACTGTTTAGTCCAAGAAGCTTGACTTAGAACTGACTTAGTTTTAACTCCTTGTTCCTCTTTGAGATAGGTTTTGTGTAGTTTGCTTTTTAAAGTACTGTTGATGCAACAGTCCTAAACACATTTACTAGGTAGAAATCCCAATAGTAGGTCATGTGTGGAGTTAACAGCATATAGGATTGCAAAGTTCAAAGTATCTAAAAAGAGAAAGCAAGCAAGATATGCATTTAAAAAAAATCTATAAATTGATGTGGACTTGGAAGATGGGCAGTTGCTACTTCGTATTACAGTTGCTGTCAAATACAGATCTTTTAACCTTATGTTACCACATTCTATAATGCACTCATTACTGTATTTGATGGGCTAGCTGGGCAAAGAATCTTATTTTCGCCTTCAAAAAATACTGTTGTTTGAATGTTGGGCAAATGAGAGATGTGCTCAACGAAGGTGCTTTTGTTATGCAAGATATCTGGATCCCTTGTAGCAATTGAGCAACTCTGCATTTACTGTACAAAAAATATTTTCTGGAATGGCCCTTTGTGAAATACGTGCTTACTGGTGATAACACCCTTAACTGCTAGGAGAAAACGCTAGTAGAAAACAACAACGCACAGCAGTCCTGATATGAATCTAGTAGTTGTGCCTATAGGATTTAAAAGGATAAAACTGGTGATTTCAGTACTTAGGATATATTGCTGCCTTATGTCTAATGACTGCCTTTTCCATTTTCTGAAAATTAGAAACCTGCTTTATTTATTTATTTATTTATTTATTTTAAACGGCACATGTTTGCAATCAAACTTAAGTATTACATTAGCATGCCTTTTATCCAGGATGACTAAATTAAGGTTGTGGCTGTAACAATTTATTTATTATTATAGACTACATGCTAGAACTTTTAAAAAGGATTTCTTACAGTAGCACTTTCAAATCTCCCTACCCCACCTTACTCATTAGAAAACAGCACTCTTACGAATGGCCCATTTAAGATTATCATGTTTTATCTTAATACACTGGTATATGCATGATCCTTTTGATCACAAATATAGCTTATTCTTTCGTCCTTTTGTGGTATACAGCAATTAAATCCACAAGCCTCCAATTAACTATAGTTCCCCGTTTCATCCAAGCAGGGCAATTATGGTTACTAAGTTGAGAACAAGCTAAGAACTTAAACCAAACAAAAGACTTGTGCGTATGTTAATTTTTGAAGTCATGATTATGACTAATCTGAACTAGGCCACAGTGTAGTTATTCTGTCAAATTATGGTCATGCTTATGCTAAATATGAACATGAAACTGATCAACTTCTGAATTTCAATATTTTGTTCATCAGTTTTTAAACCAGAGAAAGAATTTCAAGCCAGGGAAAAGTATTATTTGTGTTATATTTATTCAAATTCGAATAGTATCAGCACATAGGATTCCTGTGTAATATTTGTAAAATTGAAGTAGAGAGTGTTTTGTAAATTTTGATTCTGAGCCACTCCCATTACCAACCCTGATTTTTCTTGCATATTTTTATGGGTAACAACCAAAAAGTTACAAAACAATGAGCAAGATTTTGAGTTCTCCAAAATTATTCATTAAGCTGAATGCTAAGCAAAACAGATGGTAAAGGGTTTAGGAAAAAGGCTTTATTGGTATTGCAGCCATAAAGTATGCACTAATCTCAAGTTCATTGTTGTAATATTAGAAGATATGTGTCTATGCCAGTTGCAATGAAACTTGCACTCTGGCATTTACCACTACACCATTGAATAAACTTGGTCTATCATTGCAAACTGGTTTGATAAATAATTATTTCTTTAAAAGAAAAATCTTGCAGGACTGATCTTTAGAACTAACTTCTGAAACTCAAAGTACTAATTTTCTTTCTATTTAATTCCTATGAATTTCTGGTAGATAGGTTTTACAAAAAATGATTAACTTGTCCTCAGAGTTTGGAACCAATTAACAAACACATTTTTGATGTTTGTCCCCCTTGAGTAATTTCTTGGTGAGAGAGACTAGAAATAGAAATCATCCAGTTTTCTGTAGAACCCAAATTTTAGTATTTCTGGCGTATACAAGTCTGAGAACCCTGTATCTAAAGAATATAACTTTAAAGCTGCAGTGAAGTTGTCACTTTCCAGAATGCAGTCTAAAACATGCTCAGAAATCAGCATATAGCAGATACTCAGATATTTAAAGTGCAGAACACTATAGGAAAAAAGATGGTGGGGTATACAGCTGAATCCACCATTAACACGCATTAACACCATTAGGAAACTAATGTTTCCTGGAGCAACCTGAAAAACATGCTGATCTATTTGTTTCCAGAGTGGGGCATGTCAGAGGTGCTCCCTCCTTCTAATCCTGGTGGCCTGTTTTATTCCAGCAATGATTATGTTGGCTCATTTCGCCACATAGGCTGCACTAGATGCTGTCAAGGCACCGCCTGGCTGGATCAGACCAAAGTCCCACTAATCCAGCAATCTGTTTCCAGCAGAGCTCGGAGGCACTCAGAAGCACCTATGTATTCGGAGGTACACTGCCCCTGATCACAGAGGTTCTTTTTCTTTGTCACGGTCAATAGCCATTCATAAACATGTACTCTGTGAATTTGTCTCATTCTCTTTAAGAAGCCATCTAGCCTAGTGGCTGCTACCACCCACAGAACCGGTGGCCATGAACTCCATAAGTTAGTTACACACTGTAACTGGAGCACACCAAATAAGTGTGGACATCATTGCAGCTTCAGTGAGTTTTGCCTGAGTGGCTGCTGCAGGACTGGGCACTAGAATGGCAGCATGACCTGCCATTTCTACATATATTTTATGCTATATCCCAAGAAAGCATTTTATGATACTCTTTATGTCTTGATTCTGTGTGCTACATATTCATCTGCATGAAAGAGAAGGCATTAGGAAAAACATTTCTTACGAGTTTTACAAGTTCCTTTTCTATCCTCATTAGCGTATTAATTACCGTGAATGCACTAAAATCTATAAATCTAGACTAGAAAGTTCTTTATCTTTATTCTCTGGTAGCACTATTGACCAGATCATTTATCTGCTTGAAGGTATTTGCATTTTATGGTGGATAGCAACAATAGCCCTCCACATATTGCCTTTGCAAATAAGACTATGCTTTTAGCATTTCATAAGGAAAATAATTAGTTCTAAAGCCTTTTGGAACATTATTTTTTTTAAGTCTTCCTTGACAATCAATAAAAGGGAAAGATCCACACTAAGAATCCTCATAACGTCATTATTGTTTCAAGTGGCAAATGTATTCTTACATACTGGTCTTAAGATAATTATCTTTTAATGGAGTCCTCTTGTCCTCTTCTGGGCAGGCGCGATTTGAACAGTGCCAATTTCAGTTTTATTTGCTAGTGCCTGCAACTGGTCCATATTCTGCGAATGCCTATACAAGAAATAAGTGATAAAACTCATAGTTTCCTTTATACATAGCAGGGAAAAACACCAAAAAGAAAAAAGTTTACACTGGGCTTGATTTAGTATATTGTGGGTCCAGAAGACCCCACACTTATTCTATCTTTGCTCAGTCTTTTCATTTGGTCAAGGAGTTCTGAGACAATGTTCCCTGAGTGAGCACAGGTGAGATGGCTGGTCAGAGATGAAGAAGATACACACAGACCCCTCATTTCTTGCGTTGGCCGTGTGTGCTGCTTCTACATGGTAGACCAGAGTGAGTCCACAGTACGTAATAGCACAGTTTTGGATTAAGAGAATGCCTTCCCCCCTCCTCTTTTTAAAATGCACTATATTAAAAAAATAAAACTATGACTGAGTCAGCCTATTTAAACTTTAGAAACCTACATTAGTTGTACAACATTGCCCAGCCATCTCATCCTTTGTTAGGCACTGGTTTTCTGTAAAGTTAGTGTAGCCCTGAATAAATAAGGCTATGACTGCAATTCTATGCACACTTAACTTGGGAATCAGCCCAATTGAATGTAGGGCTTACTTCCATGTAAACTTGCATAGGATTGGGACTGCATGACTGATTTTCTAGTCTTATAAATATAAGTCATTACCATAGTATTACTATGCTTCTTATATTGATCGGGTTCCTAAAATGTTACGTATAGCCTATATACAAGTATTGCAGAATGTTTAAGAATGCGTCTCTTTGTTTCCTTTGTAAGACATTTGGGGGTTGGCTATCAATTATTTGATAAAAACTGTCTTGTTATTATTGCCTTAGCGTACATCTACACACATTTTTAAAGTGGTCGGAAGTGCATTGGCTGCACTCTTGATCCAACAGAACCCTCGCCACTCTAATAACTGAACGAGTATTTAAAAGTTCTCTTCTTTGTTACATGGATTGTTTCCCTCTGCCTTGATCGCTTTGCCAAATTGTATTTTAAAGAACTGATTGTTAGATTCTTTTGCAACTTGTGTAGTTAAAGGTTTTTCTCATGGCATGTACACTTAAGAACTGGATAATGTTTTGGATCCATACCGTTTATTAAAATAAACTCTGCAGAAAAAGAACGTATATGGATAACTGGACCTATACAACCTTCTCAGTAAAACTCCACCTTAATTGTTGTCTGTGTTAAAAACATAATACAATATGACTCCTGGATCTAGCCACTCCAGGAAACCCATCAGGGAGTTTCACCTAGAATCATTTCATCATCTACTCAGTATGACTATTTTAAATTCTGCAGTGAGTGCCCCATCTCTAGCTATTTGTGCTACCTACCTCAACACAGATTTTAATTGGCCTGATTCTGATTCCCAGTTTTGGGTTTGCACCAGGGGATGCAGAAGCTCAAGCCTGGGGGACAAATTCAGTCCTCCTGAGGTCACAACCTAGCTCTTAGGTCTTCCTAAGATGGCCACACCATCTACCCTGGACCTACCCCTTTATCTGCCAACCAGCAATTGATTGGTGGCTTTCCTGGCTTTTACACATCCCTCCTCCATATTCTGAAAGGTTAAAATGTTTCTCCCAAGGCTTTTAGCTAAACATGCTTGCATTTGGACCTTTTTTTGGAACATTCTTCCATATCTGACCTTGATTCTGCCCATCACTAGAATGCACTCCCCAGAGAGTCTCCAAATAGAAATTGGCTCTTAGGCAGAAAGAGGTTCCACACCCCTAGTTTACACCAGTAAAACTCCTTTAAAGCAGAGGTATTTGGACAAGTGAGATTCTTGAACAGGTGCAGCATATTGATTTAAGGCCTCTTCCACTAAACTATGGCTAAATTAATGTAGTTAATTAATTAACTACATTAACTACCTTTGCTTCATGTTATGTTGCTTTTCTATCCCTGCACCTCCTTCGTTTGAAAGTTTCTTTCAGAACTGACTCTATAATGTCTCCATCATTTTGTTCCTTCTTGCTTAGAAATAATAGAGGGTTATGGTTTTTTGAGCTGGTGCTCATGATAAATGAGCACAATAAGACATGGGATGAGCTGATGTCATTTTTAAGAGACAAAGCATTCAGGGATTATGCCATATCATGTGAACCCAGCCATAGTGGGATAAAACAATCCTCACACAACCCTATTACTAACCAAGATTCACGTGAAGATTGTTTAGGTCTGGAATGAAGGCTAGGTTAAGTTCACATCATGTGACTCAATCCCCAATCAGGAGCCGCATATTGAAAACAGAAGCCTCACACACTACGGTTCATCATGGGTTAAATTAAGCCATATCATGCAAACTGGGACTTTTGGAACAAAAAAACCATAACTGTGCAAAAACACAGTTTTTACAGGAAAATAAATTAGTAAAATGGGATCTTGTCACACACTTAAATAACCCTTTCCTATTATTTAATAATTTAATCAGATTAGTTTTGATCTGTACAAATTAATAGTCTGCATTCATTTACATATGACTAAATAGTTGGGGGGTCTTTTGCAGGGGGAAGCATACTGCTATTGCTTTAATATATACATGCACCAGCCTCTCTCCTATATCATATCAGTTGACATCTGCTCATATAATGAGACATCCCTTTATTATTTTCTACCCTGCAACCCCCACATGCTTCCCAGATAGCAGATGCTCTCTGCCTTGGGAGACTCCTGAGAGGGTGGGAAATGGTTCTGCCTGTGGCATCCATTCCATTAGCAGAGGACTACGACTGCTACAATCAACAATCCAGTCCAAATCCTGACAGCATTGTCATACAGAAGGAACTCTGTCAGTTTTCACCAAAAGAAAATAGAATAAAATGCCCCAAATTTTGTATTTTGTATAAATACAATTTAAAAAACCAGAGTAGCATATAAAAACAATTTATCTTAACCTTTTGAAAGCCTGACTAAATAAATTTATCATTTTGCTTTAAACCAAGAGCTTGCTGGTACCAACAGCACATCTCTGGGAAAGGAAGCAAACCCAAAGGGCATTCTCTGGTCACTACAAATTACTTCCAAACATGGAGGCACCTGATAGAAAGCCAAAGATGACCTCAGTGCACATCAGCTAACAGAACAGGCTTTCCCTCAGCAACCTGTTCCAAGCCATATAGATCTTTAAAGAAGAAAGCACCAGCATTTTGAATTGTGATGGAAAAATTGACCAGAAGCCCCATAAGGTCTTTAAGTACTGGTAAGATACCTCGTTGACAGGTAGTCTAATCAATAGTCTAGTGGCTGTATTTGGAACCAGCTGCGGCTGAATTAAGAGTAGACAGTTATGCAAAGTGAAATATATACCTTTAGGGTGTTCATTATATCCTACAGTTGCAGCTCAAACCCTCGTTAAGGCTCCATAGGTTATTCTAAAATATGCAAAATATTTTCATATTGGAAAGGCATATGAAAACCAGTATTTTGTTGATAAAGCTGCTCTCAGGCACAGCACAGGTACATGCAATGTACAATAGAGCTCATGGTATTTTCCTACAATTACTTGATTTCTGTGTGAGAAAAGCATAACATTTGAAAACAGCCCTGCAAACTCTAAAACTTAGCAAAGTCAATATATTTCTGATATATATTGGAAGTCCTTAGTAATGTTGCTTTGCAACAGTCCTGCTGAATGGTCCATAAACTCCTTAGTCCAGAGAAGGTCCAAGGCAGCTTGCTCCTCAGTTTTAAATCCGATTAAACATTCCATGTAATGAAATTGGGCTTACCCTACATACCAACAGGAACCTTAGGCTTTCTTAGAGTTGTTGGTTGCAGAGACCAAACGAGAATCCCATAGATTTAGCATCTCAGATGCTTGCAATGTAATCCTCTACATGTCTATTCAGAAGTAATCCCACTGAGCAGAGTATGTATGCTTACAGCCTCAGTTTATTAGAGTGCCATCCTATGCATGTTTAGATAGGAAAGAGGCATGCTAGGACTCCCCCCTCCATTATTTAAATATGTGTAGGATCGTACCCTAAAGAAGCATAAACTTTGCATTAAATCCATATACTCCACCTTACAGTTGTTTAGATTGGGCTAGTAAAAGCATCCAGCCCCCATTATTTGTTGCACTCTTGGTTCGCAATGAGTGAAATACAGACTAACGACTCAGTCCATTTGATCCATTTTTAACTAAATGAAACATGCCTCTTGCTTGAATGTGACTGGGTGTTGGGTGTGTTTGTGTGTGGGTTTCTTTTTTTTTTCTTTTTCAACATTCATAAAATATGGCCATCAGGGCATAGTACAGTTGAATTATTTACATTGATACTGTATTCATTATATTGACCATTGAATTGGGAGCCTATTTGAAAAGACTAAAATGCCATCAATGCAGATTTTAATTTAGTATAATTTGCATAATTAGTTTGGCTAAATGTTGTTCAGCTAGAATTCATTTTCTCACCCCCACAGTCAGGTATCCTTCATTACCTTAAAGAAAAATAAGATGTCAGCAGGAATACAACATAAAACGATCAAACTACTGACCCAAGGTTCTGCTCTGTAATGACTGGAAAAGGAATATTAAGTTAGGGTCAAATTTTATGAATGCAACATCGCTTAGTTTATTACTGTAGTAGAGTATATATTTTTAAAACAACAATAAACACCTACTAGCTTGTTTCAGTCTTTAGGTCCAAAATATAGGTTGTCCAAGAAAATGCCCAATGGAGCAGTCCTGTAATGTTTTGGAGAGCATCCCACATGTCTTAGGGTTCCCCATCTGAAGCCACAGGTAGTGCTTCAATCTCAGAAGGGGAAATCTCAACAGGGGTTATTTTCCCCACTCTTTCAGCCGCTACCGTAAGCATCATGGAGCTCAGACCTCAGGTGATGATGCAAATAAGGGGCAGGTAGGGGGCCAGGGAGAGGGGATACACAGGATCTGTACTATCCTGGTGCCTTCCAGCTCCTAGCACCACAACTCCACAAGATGAAAGTGTATCTAATGAGAAAAGCAACAGAAAAGAAAGGTAAAGGGTGCCTCTGTCTCTTCTTTTGCTTTGCCAGGTGTCTGTCAACAAAGCAGTAGATATTGGGAGAACTGCTTGGGAAAGCATAGGTTTGCTCTGTAAATCAGTGGATTTGGGCAAGGGGCTGTAAATTCTAGGATGGAAATTAATGTAGTTAATAGATAATAGAGGTACTATTTTTCCAATTTGTGGAATATTTTTTCAGATAATTAGCACTGAAAAATGTCCTCTTTACTTCAGTTCCTTTTAACCAAAGGAATGCTTTTAGGAAAAAAAAATGTATAAAGAAAAATATACTTCTTTTTGAGATGCATTTAGTAGCTGTTGTCTTTGAAATTATAATAGGAATTAAGAATGTTACTGTTGAAAACATTTGCACTAAATTAATACTATTCAGTAGATCTGCCTTGTTTAGCACAAGAACCATAGAATTTATTATCAGTTATCTGCATTGTTTTGGGGGCTTGATCCTGAAAACCTCTATTGCCTGCTGAAGATACACAGCTAAACATGATTGCATTAAAGGCACTATTTCTGATAGCAAATGATATGTTCAGCAGTATGTTGTCTCAGGGTCTGCCCCTACAGAGTTCACAAATATTATCACATGCCTTATTTAACATTTTCTGAAAGTTGTTTACAGAACAACAATCTAATTGCCAAAATAGCCCCCTTTTATGTATTGTATTCTATATTGGCACTGGAAGATTCAGTCAAATAGCAAGATAGACTACGTGGTACCAAAGTATAGAAAATATAGTTTAACCAATCATATGAAAACAAGCAAGAAAAAAAGCACATTTGTAATAGCACAAATTTACAATTCACTTGTTTAGACTTGGTATTGTATTCCTGCAAGAGTTGGAAAGATAGCTTCTACTTTCAGAAATGGTTATATTGCATTTTCTATCACCTTAACTTGCTCATAAGATTCCTTCAAGACTTTATTTCAAAATCATACGATTTCCATATATAATTTGATTTACTGGGAAAGTGTAGCTTGTAAGCTGATAGAAACTTATTTTTGCTCCCCATATTTTATACAATTCTAAGTGAGCTCTGAACTTGGGTGCACTTATATTAATGCAGTTTGCAAGGACTAAGAACAGTGACACATCTATATCTCGATGTTCGGC